CAATTCATTTCACTCCAATGCTGACATTTCTGCACTCCATTACTCTGTCAAGCTAAAGCCTCAACTTCCCCAGACAACCAAATCATGCTACTCTGCAAACTAATAATTGCGCAAAGACCACCCCCATCAAAGATCTCCTTGCAAGTGAGAGAGCTAGAGAGAGAGAGAGAGGGACAGAAAAGATTCTTCCATGTAGCTACTGTTTTCAATGTATTTCATTGAAGAGAGAATGTGAGACAACAGGAGTTCTGTTGATAGCCCTCTGGGAGTTCCATTCTTAGTCTGAGCCCACAACAAGCCAAAAGACATAGCTTTGAATCCAAAACACGAGTCTAAACAATATCCAGAGAGAGAGAGAGAGAGAGAGAGAGAGAGAGAGAGAGATCCATGGATAGTGACAAAAAAAGGAACATTAAAACAAAACAAGAGAAGACTAGTTATTTTGAGGGATCATCCTCATCAGTTCAGTATTCATAACAAATTAAAGACCTATATTAATTACGTGTAGTCACAATTCAGATCTATGTAAAATCTAAGAAAAGACAAACAACTTCAGCTCTAGCTTTCCATTTTATTGAAAAAGCTATATTGTTAAGAGAAAAAGATATATATTTTTTTAAAAGAGCCCATTTTGAGAAAATAGCTTGCATCATCAATCAACCATCCATTTTCACATTTAGGTACCCATCTCTTCAAAGAAACACATACATAATACTTGCCATCCAATGAAATTCAGCTGAGTGATAAAAGTGAGAAGAAATAAACAAGAAAAGACTAGTTGATTCACTAGTACATATCAAAAGACTCATTACATGTAAAGTGAAATAAAACAAACCAATGTGATAAAGAGAGAGAGAGAGAGAGAGAGAAAAAAGTGACATACATGCACTAATATATTAGATAACACCACAATTTTCAGCTCCAGCATCACATTTACTTGCCACTAAATTTCACTAATTAACACCTCAATTAAAACCCATAAGTTAGAAATAAAAATTAAAAAAAAAGACCCATTTTTCATATACCCATCAATCCTCCAATTTTTCATCAAAATATTCTCTTTTTTTTTCCCTTACCCATTTTTCACCATCAAGTTAGTACTTTCTATGGCAGTGCACTGAACTGAGGCATATCACTCCAAGCTGCGATCCCATTCCATTCAAATCACCGAGCTACTTTTGTTCTGCCCGCGTTTTCCGTTCATCCTTTCCATTGCTTCAAGAAATCCAACCAGTTCACCTGCACGCACCTGCACCACAGGCAGACTCGTCTGGTTGACGCCCATCAGATTCACGCCTTATCTGACCCCTGAAACGAAATCGGTATGAGGTCTCATGACGCACGTACTATGGATGATGGTGATCGTGACTAGTCTCAATCAATAGCAGTTTGATCAGCTATGCAGCTGCTGCCTTGTCTCCAGCTGCCACCAACAGCATGCGCCGCCCTTGCCTGCAGCGGTCCAGTGCAGAATCCTGATTGATCGAGAGCCTCAGCGACTCGCCATGACGCAGGCGATAGCGCTGCTCTGGCTTGATTCACCCAAAACCCAAGCACACTGATGCTCATCGGCGATGCGGTAGTTAAAACCCGATTTGAGCTAGTTGCTCCGCTGAAGAACCATGCCCAGCTGAAACCGCTTGGGGAAAGTTTGCCGTTGGCGCCGGCGGACCGGCGGCAGAGGGCGCGAAGAACGCAGTGAGTGCGGGCCGCCACGGACTTCGAGACGATTTCTCGATTCCGGCCACCACTCCGCCGACGGGCACTTTGCGGAGAGCGCGCCTTTCTCCCAGTTAGCGGCCTGCGGTCAGGTCTATGCAAAGTGGCGGGCTGGGAGACTTGTAC